ATGCCACGTTTTTCTTCATAGAACCCAGCTTCTCAGATTATTTGCTCAGCATACAGGTGGAATAAGTACTTACTTTAATTATTGCATTCTTTCCTGTGTCTCCCACTACCTTCATCTTTCCTTTGCTAACCTCCCTCTTGTTGTATATTGCCTGCTCTGACACCCATATTAGCATGTGCCTAAACTCTAGCCCATAAACAATTTTCTCTCCTCTTCCCCTCATAAGCATCATAGATTGCTTCTTTAATTAAGAAAACTTTTTCTTAACTTTTTACAATATTGGTATCATACAATAGTTATCCTTTTGTGATTGATAATTTCACTCAGCATAATATCCTCCAGGTTTATCCATATTGTGATGTGTTTCACAGATTCATCGTTATTCTCCAATGATGCAGAGTATTCCATTTTGTGTATGTACCAAAGTTTGTATAACCATTCTTCTGTTGATGGGCATTTAGGTTGTATCTATCTTTTTGATGTGTCTTTTGTAGACTGCATACTGAAGGGTCCTGTTTTCTTATCCATTTGACTCTTTCTGTCTCTTGACTGGTACATTTAATCCGTATACACTCAGTGTAAATCTCAATAGATATATGAATTTATTGCTGTCACTTTGCTATGTGTTTTTTTGTGGTGCTGCTGGTTTCTTTGTTCTACATCATTTTCTGTGCTGAGTTCATTTTGTTTGTGGGTTTTCTTTACTTTTTCTCCTGTTGTATTAATATTTACTAAATCTTTCTGGTTTTCCTCTTTTTTTATTTTGATGTGCAGGTATATTCATTTGTTTTGAGGTTACCATGTAACTTATTAAATTTTCCCTATTTAAAACAGTCTGTTTTATCCTGCAATCTACTTAACTTCCTAGTCATTTGGAAGTTCTGGATCTACACTATTCCCTCTTTTTGCTTTGTAATTAACTTCACTATAAATTAATATCTCTGGTTCCCTATTTTCAATCTTGTAGGTTTGCTTTACTTTAAATACTTCTAAAGTTCTGGGTGTTATTATCATGTATGGTAATCTCAGGTTGTTGTTTACTGTTGCTGATTTTTAGTCCAAAGAATATCCCTTAGTATTTTTTGTAGAGTTGGTCTGGTCATTACATATTCCCATAATTTCTGTTTATTAGGAAATGTTCTAATTTCACCATCATATTTGAGGGACAGCTTTGCTGGGTATATAATTCTTGGTGGGCAATTTTTTTCTTCCATTGTTTTATATATGCCATCACATTACCTTCTTGCCTGCATGGTTTCTGCTGAGAAATCAGAGCTGTCTTCTTAGTTCTCCTTTGTAAGTAACATTTCATATTTCCTGAGCTGCTCTCAGAATTCTTTTCTTATTTTTGGTTTTGGAAAGTTTGATTATGGTATGTTTGTTTTGGTTATATTCTTTGGGAATCTATCCTGTTGGGGTTTGTTCAGCTTCTTTTTTGCTCATCTTCTTGTCTTTCATGATGTTAATGAAGTTTTCTTCTAACAACTCTTCGACAATTTTCTCTGTGCTTTTTAATTTTCTCTTTCTGTTCTGGAATTCTGATCATCTGTAAGATGTTCCTCTTCATCGTGTCCCACAGAACTCTTAGGTTTTCCTCAGATTTTTTTCATTCTTTTTTCTGATTGTTCTTCTAGTGTACTAGTATTGAGAGATTTCTCTTCAAGCTCAGTAATTCGGGCTCCCATTGCTACAAAACACTTATTTGCCCATTCAACGTATTGTCCATTTCTGAGATCTTAGTATTAATCTTCTGGATTCCTTATTCCAGGTTTTGTATTATTTCAAAATTTGCATTTATTTTGTCTGTTTCTTCTTGCAGTGTTTTCCTGAATTCTTCTAGAGTTTTTCTGTGTTCTTCTTGCTTTCCTCAATCTTTCTGTCAGTCCTTATAAGGCACTTAAATAACATTCTTTTAAATTATTTTTTAGTTAGTTACATTACCTTTCCTTCCTGGGAAATATTTTGTGGCTCTGCATCTTGGTCATTTTTTTGAGCCATTCTCTCTTGTTTCTTTGTGTGAGCTAAAATTGTCTGTTGTCTCTGGAACATTTTGGGGCTGTTGTATTTGTATTTAATTGATGATTGTGTGTTGATGTGCTCTTAGGCTCTCACTAACTGTCTCCTATGGGTGTAGTTATAGAATGAAAACATGTATACTGTTCTCCTTTGCTGTTCATGCATATCGGTTTAGGGTAGGCTTGGCTGTTGTTGGTTTCTCTCTACTGTTGATCAGGTGACATAGGAGCTGGTATTAGCTTTTGCCCAGTGGGTGGGGCTGCAGAGGGTACAGTTGTGGCTGGCCTGTATGGGTAAGGTTGCTGTCTCCTGTTAAGTGTGAAAAAAAAAAAAAAACCTACCCACAGACACACACAGAAAACAAAACAGAATAAACATACAAGGAAACAACAATGAAGAAAAAAAAAAGCCCAGATAGCAACCAGTAAAAAAAGAACAAAATAACTATAAAGATAGAAGAGGGACAAGGAAATGGATCCATAGAAGAGAAAATATGAAAGGAAATAAAAATAAGAAATTTTTAATATACTTAGAAAAACAAGAGAGAAGAAAGATGAAAAGAGAGATTCGAAAGTAGTAAAGAAAAATCAAAAGGGGGGAAAGAAGAGGAGAAATGAGAAACAGAAGAAAAAGTAAAACAAAAGCAGAGATATAAAGGATAAAATTCAAAGGAATGGAAAGAGAAGAAGAAGGTAGAGAAAGAATAAACAAAAACAATGAACCAACAAAAGGAAAACAAATAAACAAACCCCAATACAAAAACAAATGGTGCAGCCTCTGGATCTAGAGAGGAGAAAAGTCTGGTGCCTCCTCAGAGTTCCTGGTCCTAGGTGGAGTTCCTATTGGCCTAGGTGTTATCTATATTCAGGGCACTCAATCCAAAAGTAGTTTGAGGTGGTCCTTTATGTGGCTGGTTTCAATGTCTGTTAGGACCACAGGGCAGCTGGGGCAGGGTGCCTGGTTAAATGTTGGGCTGGTGGCTCTGGGGGTTCTGTAGGTCTAGAGCCAATTCCACCTGAATCCAGGCACCAAAATGGTGCAGCCTGCCCCTGCCTTACTTACATTGGTGAGGCTCCCAACCATATGGCTCAGACTCCTGGAATGCAGGGTCTGTACTAGGGGTAGATGACAGTGAGAGCTGGCCACACCTCTGGTCAGGGAAGCGTGGGGGGAAAGAAGGAATTGCACCTTTCCCATCATCTCTGTGAAACTGGTCTGCCAGGTCTCCTTCTGTTGCTAAAGCTGTTCACAAGATGGTAGTGCTGCATTTGGACTGCTGTTTAAAAGCCAGTCTCCATCTCTTATCGTCCTTGCTCAGCTTCTCCTCCCAGCAAGCACTCTAACCTTTCCTCTAAAGTTCAGGGTTCCAGATTTTTCATCTGTGTCTATTTCATTTGGTCTCTTGTATCTATTATAGCGGCTACGTGTAATGTGATTACCTAGTCTGCCATCTTGCTGGAAGTCTTTACCTTCAATTTATGAATAGGGTTTTCACAGCCAATTTTTTCACAAGTAGATTAACAGGCCTTCCTTCCTAGTCTGTATTAGTCTGGAAGCTCTGCTGAAACTTGTCGACCACGGATGATGCAAGTGGTATTTGAAATATCAGTGGCCTAGCTTCCAGTATCACAGCAACATTCAATCTACCACAACATGATAGACTGACAGATTAGAGATATCCGTAGAGGTGAAGAAATAAAGACATTTTCCTACACTAATGAAGCTTATAGTCAAGTGTGGGAGAATTATAAATATAGCAGACTTATGAATGATAATGTGGGCTATGAGAAAAAACACACCACCAAGTCATGAAACAAAATGTGTATGAGTCATTGAGTGAAAAACTAATTTGTTCTGTAATCTTTCTCTCAAATCACACACATACAAAAAAATTAAAAAGAAAAAGAACTCAGGAGAGCTCTAAGTTAGGTGGCCAGAGAAACCTCCTTAGACCTGAGACCAGAAGGATGAGAAAGAGACAGTTGTGGGGAGGGTCTAGCCAAGAGCCTATAAGAGGATCCCCAAGACAGAAGATCTTGAAGTTTGCAAACTAAAGGAGGGGCTCACCAAAAGAGGTGAATGGCTGGGACTGGGAAGTAGGTGGGCCTGGGGCTCCCCTCTGTGGACAAGTCCCAGCAGTATGGAAAAAGGGCCTACACATGTGGTGGTGAACACAGTGCCACTATGGTATGCTGGGCACCACCAAAGAGCATGCCAGGGAGCAATCCTCATGGTAGGCAGTGAAAACTAAAGAATGGCAGAATTTCAACCTGGAAATGTCTCTTTCTTTTATTCCTTCAAGTGTGGCTTATGTGATCACTTGCATCGCTTAATGAGTGTGTTCAAAATGTAGAGTCCTGATCCTCACTTCCAGAGATTCTGGGGCAGGAAGTTGGCACAGGGCACAATAACATGCACTTAGCCAACTGCCCAACTTATTTTTGCCCATGAAGATTGAGAACCCCTGCTGTAAATTTACATCCCATGGGCTAACTTCCAAGCCCCATTTGTAAGACATCTAGCTCCAGCTGCCACCCACACAGGCCAGGTTGCATCAACAAGGCCCCACCCACTCTCCAAGCTCCCACTGAATCTTAGCCATATGTGGTTCCCTGGAAGCTGCCCTGCTATGCATACCATGTCCACCTCAGAGATGCTGTCCAGGCTCTCCACCTGCACATCCACACCCACCGGAATGGCAGGACCTGCAAAGGAACAAAGGCAGCTGGTTAAGGTTATCTGTCACCAGAATTCTTATCTAACCTTTTCTGGGGAGAATGAAGCAATGGTTCTGAATTCTTTCAGAGTTTTCTTGTCAGTTCCACATATTTTGGATGCCTGAACTTTCTCCATGAGGGGCAGGAATTATGTCTGCCTTAGTTGTCATTCTTGGGCCAATATGGGTGTTTACTGTATGCTGGCTAGATGAATACATGAGCTGGATTACTACTTTCTATATCCCAACACTGTCTCACAGCAGTATGTAGAGGAAATGGTGCTCTAATGCTCGGCAGGGTCACTATGGGTCAAAATCGACTCGACGGCACTTAACAACAAGTGCTTGAATGTCTGTGGGTGATACAAGTGGTTAATGTGCCTGGTTCAATCTATCCATGGATGTCTCAGAAGAAAGAGCTGGCAATCTACTCCCAAAAAATCAGCCATTAAAAATGCTATGAAGAGCAGTTCTACTCTGACACACATGGGATCACCATGAGAACAGCAAATGTTATTAATGCTTGAGTGAAGACTCTGGTCATTTGTGTTAATGTAACATATCAAAGGGACAGAATGAAGCTGTTAGAGCTTCTGGCCTGGGGCAGGGACACCTGTATGTCCATGTCTGAATTTATTCCAATATTCTCATATGCACAATTCCAATAAACGCATATACATAATTCCAATAAAAGCATATACGTAATTCCAATAAATGCACATATATACACAATGATAATAAACGCACGTATACATAATTCCAATAAACGCATATATACACAATTCCAATGAACCCATATACATAATTCCAATAACCACATATAAATAATTCCAATAAACACATATACGTAATTCCAATAATCGCATAAACATAATTCTAATAATCACATAAACATAATTCCAATAATCACATATACATAATTCCAATAAACACATATTTATAATTCCAATAAACAAACACATATAATTCCAATAAACATACATATATAATTCGAATAAACACAGATACATAATTCCAATAATCACATATACATAATTCCAATAAACACATATATACACCAGTCCAATAAATGCATATATACATAATTCCAATAAACGCATACAAATAATTCCAATAATCACATATACATAATTCCAATAAATATATATACATAACTCCAATAATCACATATACATAATCCCAATGATTGCATATACATAATTCCAATAATCACATATACATAATTCCAATAAATGCATACATAATTCCAATAATTGCATATAGATATTTCCAATGATAGCATATACTTAATTCCAATAAACACAGATATAAAGTACCAATAAACACATATACATAATTCCAATAATCACATATACATAATTCCAAAAATCACATACACATAATCCAATAATCATGTATACATAATTCCAATAATCACATATACATAATTCCAATAAAAACATATACATAATCCCAATAATTGCATATCGATAATTCCAATAAACGCATATACATAATTCCAATAAAAGCATATACATAATTCCAATAAATATATATATACACAATTACAATAAATGCATATATACAATATTCCAATAAACACATATATACATAATTCCAATAAACAGATATACATAATTCCAATAATCACATATACATAATTCCAATAAATACATATACATAATTCCAATATTCTCATATACATGATTCTAATAATTGCATATATGTAATTCCAATAAATGTATACACATAATTCTAATAATTGCATATACATAATTCCAATAATCGCATATACATAATTCCAATAACTGCATATAAATAATTCCTAATTCCAATAATTACATATACATAATTCCAATAAACACATATACATAATTCCAATAAACGCACATATATAATTCCAATAATAGCATATATAAACACACATATATAATTCCAATAAACACACATACATAATTCCAATAATCACATATACATAATTCCAATAAACACATATACATGAAACCAATAATCACATATTGATAATTCCAATGAACACATATACATAATTCTAATAAACACATATACATAAATCTAATAAACACAGATACATAATTCCAATAAACACATATACATATTCCATTAAACACATATACATAACTCCAATAAACACACATATATAA